ACCACAAAACATTCAGTTACTTGTTCTGTGCTACGTCAGAATACTCAGTCTCTTGTGTACGTAGTGCTTACATATTACACATTTTAAAAATGTACCAATGTTTTATTTTCCCCCAGAGCTTCTACCAGTCCCTGCTACAGGAGGCTAACCCGGGGATCGCAGACAGAATCATCTCCGGCATAGATGCTGGGAATATCCGGGAGAATCTGAGGTATACGTCTGACACATCTACATCCTTTTGCATCTCTGCAACTAGTAGTGGTAGCAGTAATAGAAGTAGTAGTAGTAGTAATAACAGCAGCAGCAGCAGAGGCAGCAGCAGCAGCAGTAGCAGTTAGTAGTAGTAGTAATAGTGTCAGCAGCAGCAGCCCCTTTAACCTCAAGTAAACACACACACACACACACACACACACACACACACACACACACACACACACACACACACAGTAACACACATTTTAGTAAGAGTTTTACGGCACTTGCAACTCTATAAGGTCATATAGCCTAAGTGCTGAAGATTAAAGGTGTTCCAAGAAAGTAACAAAGACAAAGCAAAAAAAGGGGAGATAAGGACGATAGATGTTTTATAGGAAAGAAGGAGCAAACCACATCCGAGAACACGTCAACCACCCACACACACATACACCATATTATATATATATATATATATATATATATATATATATATATATATATATATATATATATATGTATATATATATATGGGAGATTCAATAAGTCTTCGGTGTAGGTATGAAGGAATCATGGTAGAGTAATGAAATTTTACCAGCCTTTAGACAATTTCTTTGGAACACACCATGCAAATTTTCGGAAAATCAAACAATAATAAGGCACTAGTCAGCGTGTTTAATGAAACCAAGCACAAAAACGTTTGGTTTTTTCTTTGCTGAAGCTGTGCCATGGAGCCTGTGGAATATCGATCCGTTGCCAAGTTTTTACACTTGCAAGGAATATCCCCTCCGGACATTTTTCAGGAAATGGTCCACGTTTATGGTGATAAATGTTCTCGGGACATACTGGGTAAAAAAAACCCCAATTCAAATCTGGATTCATGTTGTGATTGATGAAGATCGCGAAGGGCGCCCATCCTTTGTTGTAACTTGAAGGGAATGTATCCTTAGTGAAGAAACTGGTTTACAAGACCGACTTATAAATGTTAAACAGCTCTCAAGTGAAACGGGAATCAGTGTAGGGTCAATTGAACCGATTCTCCATGACTATCTTAACATGAATAAGGTGTCGGCGCGGTGGGTACCCCGCCTTTTGACGAGTGAGCAAAAGAAGCAGAGGGGTGAGTCCTGCAAAACTCTCCTTCGAATTGAGTCCAATGACACAAATTTCTTTAAAACATGGTAGATCTGACTATGGATGAAACATTGATTTATCCTTGTGATCCAGAACAAAAAATATCCTCCATGGAATGGAAAACCCCTTCTTCTCCCTCACCAAAGAGGGCAAATGTAAAACGGTCAAGGGGAAGGTCATACTGTCGTGTTTCTGGGACTGTGAAGGTAGCATCTTGACTGACTACTTGGAAAATGAAAAAAACAGTCAAAGGGGACTACTATTCGGGTTTGCTGATAAAACTGCGGTCCGAGCTGGGGAGGAAAATGCGTGGGAAACTCGTAATGGGGTCCTCCTATTGCATGACAACGCCTCAGCGCTCATGGAACAACAAACAGTCCAGACAGCAGAACAGTGCAGCTTTGAAATCCTGCAACACCTAGGTTATTCACCAGACCTAGCCCCTTCAGACTTTTTCGTAATTCTTAAAAAAACCCACCGAAAGGACGTCGTTTCCATGACACCGAGGACGCCATTGAAGCTGTGGAAGACTGGTTAGGAGCCCATTCTGGGTCTTTTTTTTTCAAGGGCTGTTGAATGTCAAAGAGAGGTGGCACAAATGTGTTACTCTGCATGGTGACTATGTAGAGAAATGAAAGTATGTGTGCCAAGTTACAAAGCTTTATCTTTATACTTTCATATTTAGACCAAAGACTTGTTGAACCCTACTCGTATACATGTATATTGCAATTGTTATCAATGAACTTCTGTTCAAAACGAAGCAAAGTTAACGGTAAATAAACTCTAATAATATATTCATTGCTTTGTTACCTTTGGTCAGGGTTCTTACAGAGCAGCCTCACATCGCGGGCAGGAGGCGAGACTTTGAGCTTGTGGACATGCTCAGGACTCGATTCCAGGAATCCGGATTGCATGTTCAGGTGACTCCGTATGATGTACTGCTGTCGTATCCTAATGACGACACGCCAAACTCTTTAAGGCTTCTTGACAACACAAGTACAGTCATGTACGATGCGGCGAGGGATGAGAGCAACTTTTCAAAGGTCAAGGACGTGGTGCCACAGTTTCATGCATACTCTCCTAAAGGTCTGGTCGAGGTGAGCATAACGTTATGGATTTATCTGGATCTTTTCTTTCTTCATTTCATATTTTTGCGGGGCGCGGGGGTGGGGGT